TTGCTCCCGACATGTCTCTTATTATGCAAAACCATGACAAGTTGTGACCCCTGAGGTACCGAGGGGTCCGGCACGCTCACTGCTCCACCTCACACCAGCGAGGTCCGGCAGGCTCACTGCTCCACCTCACAGGAAACCCGTGAGTGGTAATTCAGTGACCGGGACCCAAGTGAGGTAAGCCGCCACCATGGGACACTAAGGATTAAACACTACCAGCGAGCGTGCCGCTGCCCTCCCCAGGTCACTCTGCCTCATAACATCCTAAACCTTGTCTCATCTCCCTCCTCCCCTGCGTCTATGGCTCCCCACTGACTGTCGGGGACAGGAAGCCTGATATGCTTATCGAGACCACCTAGATTAAGTACTTATCTCCGCAGGATGCCACCCCAACAGTTGCCTAACTTCCAGGTACACGTGTCCTGCTAGGTGAACAGAGGCATCAGGTGTAAGGAACTGAATGCGGCACCATTCGACTGTGAGTCGACTGCAGTAAAGGACATTAAATAAACTGTACTTAAAATAACTGTACTGATAATGACGTCCTCCATACTAAGCTGTGCGAGGGTGGGGAGGCCACCTTGGGAGATGCGGACTGGATCGCGCTAACCACTTGTGTCTGTACTAAGATGGCAGCGGCAGAGTCATCTTAGTACAGAGACACATGTGTGTGTGTGTGTCCAGCATGTGAGCCGTGCTGGACACAGTACACACATGCTGTGATACGACAAATACACAGCCACGACCACCACAACCACGACCACCAAGCCACGACCACCACAGCCACGACCACCACAGCCACGACCACTACAACCACGACCACCACAACCACGACCACCACAACCACGACCACCACAGCCACGACCACCACAGCCACGACCACCACAACCACGACCACCACAGCCACGACCACCACAGCCACGACCACTATACTACCCTCAACCAGTCCTGCCCTCCAACCAGACGGCCTCAACCAGTCCTGCGTCTTGATACAACCATTCCCAGCCCAGTGAAGCTAAGGTCGCTCTAGGGCTGGAAGGACTTCACCCCCGCACCTTCGTGGAGGAACAACGTAGATTAAATCTCGTGGAACAGTTAAAGTATTGGTCTGTGGTGGCGTGTCACTTCCTCTGGTGGCGCACACGGAAGTCAGCTCCCCGGATATGTTGATGGGTGTCGTGTCATTCCTCCTCATGTCCCCTCCGCGAACATCCGTCAGCTGTGTCAGACGCCAGTCGCATCCCTCCACTGAAAATTCTGTAGGTTTGATTTTGGTATAATCATCCGTGGTTCGTACTAGTATATATCCACCATGTCTGTTTAGTACGCGTATATAACCCTTATCACCTCGTGTGCTGGGGGTTATAGGTAGGCAGGAACCAAGCAGGGGGGAGGGGCAGGAACCTAGCAGAGAGGAGGGGCAGGAACCAAGCAGAGGGGAGGGGCAGGAACCAAGCAGGGGGGAGGGGCAGGAACCAAGCAGGGGGGAGGGGCAGGAACCAAGCAGGGAGAAAGCAGGAGACTGGGAGGATGGAGGCGGTCGTAAATGTATCAATATTTTACAATGCCTCACCATGTGAGGAGCCAACCCGTGCTGGGAGTAAAGGTAGTCTTGTAGCCCCGCCAGTCTTCACGCTGCTCACCTTGTCTACATGCCTAACATGTCTTGCTCGTATTGTCCACATGAAATCTTGTGCCTGTACGCTACCAACATTCCCACTGACATCCATGTCTGTCTCAATGAACATCATCACTGTTTGTATCTGTGTTGCATGATATGCATGCAAGATGGTTCCACTGCATGACACACATGTGTGTACCATATATCTATGTGTAAATGACACAGACATTTACACATAGTATGAGCGTACATGGCGGGAACTTGTAAATCGGTAAACTAATGGGGGTTCAGGTGGTATAATCCCCGGTGGGGGGAGTAACATGCAGAGAGCGAGTCCCTAGGGGAGTGTGGGGAGGCGAGCTATGGTCCACGGGCCCCGCCTTCCCAGCTATCACTAATCATCCTTGAGGAACCTGAGCGATTGTCGTCGGGCAGCGGCTGTTGGACTCCCTGGGGACACAGCCTCTAAACCACCGATGTAGTGCCCCAAGAGACCACACCTACCTACCACCTGGGTATTCTAGTCATCACTGCTCATTCACACACACATACTAGTTTTCGCTTGTGACATTGTAATAGAGAGAAAATGGGTTTCCAACTGAAGAAGAGTGAAAGGTGTGAGGTTTAAGATCGTAGGGCGGCTGGTACTATGGGTTGGTCCTGGCGATCTCTAGTGAGATGAGAAAGAACTGAAGGTCAGGTCAGATTTGGGTCATCAGGGGGTAGGTGGGTCATGAGAAAGTGTGCAACAATACTGCTTGACCTCACCAACTCCTTGGAACATATGGGTTTTCCCAATTTCATTTTCAATATTTAATTTAACATAAATTCGGAGGAAAACTATGATCGACGGTGGCCAAGGTTGCAATAACTCGGTTTTAAGCCGGATCAACTCCCTCCCAACACTAGGGGGGAGTTGACCAACAAGTATAAACTACCATTCCCGCCCCTCGCCCGCGGCTGGCTTCGGGACCTCACTTGACCTCATCGTCCCCAAGAGACCAGCTACCTTCCAAGCCGCGCATTTTAATCTGTAAAGCCTCTCAGCCTGTCCTTGTTAATCCAACCAAAATCACAGGAAATCGGTAGTTGAATATTTCTCTTTATCCCTCTGTATGGATAGAATTTTGCTGAATTTGTACAAGCATTATAAAAAAGATCTTTACAATAATTCTTGCTTGTCAATTGTAAATTTTGAATTTAATTTAGGTGTTTACAAGAGAAAAATACTATACTAAAGGCATTTAATTTAAAACTTTGTGACATTATATAATTTGTCAAGTAGTTTTTTTAAAAACTCACATTCAGAAATAAATACAAATTCAATTGAATAGTTAATCCACAAAAATATATAACTAATTTATCTTGCAGTTTGCGCTTTTAACGTTAAATTCAGCTATGTTAAATTCGCCTATGGTGCTGTAACTATGCCCTGAGTCAGTGTAAGATAACACATTTTAACACACAATAACACACACGTCTATATTGACTTTGATGAGGAACACCACCAAAAAACTAGCCTACTGTTGTCGAGTAAATGATATCGTATTCTACACCATTGTTTATAACTCACTTTTGTCCGTTTTAAACATAACTTATCAGTTATTCATTACTCCTTTGAATTGCCGTGTTGTGAGCAGTGTATAGAAATTTAAGAGTACGTAACAAATGCTTTTTGTACACGACTTAGTTTGCGTTAAACTATTTAGTTAGTTTTAAACCCGTGATCTATCCGAGGCTTTTTAAGAATGGTCCTTAATTCTTCACAAATCTGGCATTCTGATCAATCTGATCATTGATTAAATTTCCTATATGTACCCTTAAGAAGGCAAGGTTAGAGTATAACAAGGTAAACAAATTTTGTGCCGATATTTGGCACCTTAATAATAACTCAAAATAATGGATACAAATTGATTGAGTTAAAATTCAGTAACGAGCAGAGTAAATACTAGAGATAGTGATGCTGTTGTCTTATGGACCAGCATTCCTGGAAGCATAAGATGTGGACACCAAACCACACACTAGAAAGTGAAGGGACGACGACGTTTCGGTCCGGCCTGGACCATTCTCAAGTCGATTGTGGCATTCTAGCATTCATTGGACCGAGCACAATCGACTTGAGAATGGTCCAGGACGGACCGAAACGTCGTCGTCCCTTCACTTTCTAGTGTGTGGTTTGGTCAACATACGTCAGCCACGTTATTGTGACTCCTCGTCTGCATAAAATGTGGAATCACTGGATTTTTTTCCAGCGTAAGTTTGGTTAGATATTAGGTGGGCGCTACTATGCATGTTGCCTCATATGCGGTTTCATGTATTCTTATGTTCAAATTTCGTCGCTGTGGGGGACTATTTGTCTTCATTTATCTCTCCGTACTTCATTTCCACTCACTATGGCTATTTATTTAATATATTTTCTCTCTAAATTGGTGCTTAAACAGACTAAGTGTACAACAGTCGCAAGCCTAGCGCCCCCAGAGCTCTGCCTGTAAGCCTAGCACCCCTAGAGCTCCGCCTCTAAGCCTAACACCGCCCTGAACAACATAAAATACGAAGTCCAACAGTGACAGACAGATGGTCCAAGCGGGAGATTTCTAACCTCTTGCGATATACCTTAACATCTCAATATACTTACTTGATCTTGAAGCAAAAAAACAATACACAGGCTACTAGGATTTCAACAGAAGCGTTAGTAATACATTAATCCTGTAATTTAGTAAAATACTTAATCCTGTAATTTAGTAATATTTAATCCTGTTATTTAGTAATACTTAATCCAGTTATTAATCCTGTAACTAATAATTAACCCAGTAATTTAGTAATAATTAACGCTGTAATTTAGTAATACAATGATCCTGTGATAATTAATCCTGGCCTGGGACCGCCTCTTGCAGTCTCCGGTATTGGTCATCGGGGATTATAAACGACGTGCAATGTCTTGTAAATGGCAACAAATTATAATCACCAAATGTTCATACCATTTGTTGAAGATTTCCTAAAATGTTTCTAAATATATTCTTTCTGAAAGCCTTTAGTAAGGAGCGGTATTACTAGAGTCTTGACGAACAAGTAATATATTAGTTATAATATTCAATCCTGAAATTCTGAATAGGCTAAAAAATTTATAAAAAAAATCTAAATCGTCTTAGAACTAAACATTACAACAATTTTGATTCCAACTTTTATTTTACTAAATACTGATAACGACTTATGGGGTAAAAAAAGTGTGTAGCATAGGCCCAAAGGTCTGTTGCAGTCTCATTATTTTTGTCATGTAAAATTAGACTGCAATATTTAATAATGCATTATGCTCGTTAATCTTAGAATCCTTACACTGTGTGGACGAACACGGACTCTAAAGGTTTATTGTTGTATCCTGCAGATGACGACAGTGGGTATTGGCGGGAGGATGCCCGTGCCCGCAGCCCAAGCCGCCTCGACCCCTCAGACCGCACCCGCCGCAGCCTGCCGCCCATCAGTCGCCTGCTGCCCCGGCCAGCCCTCCTGGTCCGCTCCCGCTCCCCAGCCCTGCCTCCTGCAGACATGTTGCTGCCGCCGCAGGAAACGCCACTAGACTGCCATGTGCCCCGACGGGCTGCATCCCCGCGTCTGCCGCCCTTCTGTGACGTGCGACGACACCAACGAGCACCATCACCAATGGACTACGAACATCGACCATCCCGCTACCATGACGACTCCATATTGCCTTACGACTTGACAACTCGTCGTGCACGGTCTCCCCGCAGCGTGTCGCCACAGTCGCTGCCACCGGTGCTTGCCTCAATGCATCTAACGCAGGTCACCAGCGCCGAGGACGGTGGTGGTCAAGGCAACGGCGGCGGCCCACCTCCCAGTCAACACGGCAGCAGCAACAATGGCGGCTACGTTGACTCGTCGCAGACATCCCTCTCATTCTTTGGTTCAATTGGCCTTGGTGGTGACAAAGGCGGAGTTGGTGGCGCTGACGGAGGTGGGGGAGGGGGTCAGAACCCCTCCGGAGGGATGCCTAACGTGGAGACGACGTCACTGCCACCGCCAATCCCAGCACCCATTGAGCCCCATGTATATTCCCTCCCCGAACACTGCCGCAGCATCCCCCTCACTGCCAGTGACACCTCTCAGGCATTCCCAGCACCCGCGCACTTCAGGGAGAAACACCTTCAACACATACAGCCACAACACCAACTCCAGCAACCACAGCAGACGCACCAAACCCACTTCCAGACGCAGCAGCTCCAGCAGCAGCAAACACAGCCTCAGTACACAATACCGCCACTGTCGCCCTCACCGCTACCTGTGTCGCCGCCGCTCAGCTGCTCTTCCTCGCCTCTCACTAGTGGCACCACCATCCTCAGGTCCCCACCAGAGGCACAGACCTTCGAGCCCCTCACTACTCAAACACAGGTCAGTCACCAGTCTTTACAACACAGAGAAGACTCGTAAATTACAACTGTTATAATTTATAAAATATTGAATATCTTATAATTCCTGATCATGTGGCAGCATCGCACTCCTTGCTGTGTCTTGCCGAAGCTGTAGCAGTTACTAACCAGGTTTATGTGGTGCAGGTTCCTCTGGTGTCGTCCACTGACCTACAGACTGGGTGGTGTGAGCGCTCGCCCATGTCTCCTCAGTACATGCAGACCAGCTACCCCAGCAGGCCCTCTCCTGGGGGCAGCTCTATAATGGACGCCTCTTCCCCGCCGTTGCACGATCTCCAGGTACGACTGACGTTTTGTTCTCGTAATAATAACTTCAATATAGTCTGTCAATATTTAATGACATCGCTGGGCCTGAATACAAGATTATAAAATATGACCTCAATCTGCTTATGAATTTATCAGTCTGAGTAGGTTCATAATTTTTAAGTAGATATCCAGACGTTAAAATTTGTTAATGTTTATTTCATAATATTTGATGGGTCAACGTGAGTTTTAATTAAGCATCCCTGTCTTTGGCAGCGCGAGGTGCCCCTACAAGTGCGGGTGTCCATCCTGCAGCAGCGGCTGGGCCTACCCGAGGACACGCCCCTGGAATTCGTCAATGGTGGTCACGGCATCAAGAACCCGCTGGCCCCGAACCTTGACTCGCCGCGCCCGGAGGTTTCCGAGAAGTTGCAGCCGCCGCCTCCAGGTGGGTCCTTTCTCCGGAAACTTTTTATTCGTGTTTTTTTGTAACGGTTAACTGTACATAACTTTGTGGTGATCTATTGAAATTATTTGAAGAGCATGTAGGGCGAAATATTATCATGTGTTCCGACGCCTGCATGTCATTTAGGGGGGTAGAAATAGCCAAAGCTACTCTATCCCTTTGAGATGTATTTTTTTTCTTGTCTCAATAAACTTACTTGAACTTGAACTTGCATGTCATTATCAGTATTCTACAACCAACTCATTAGTGTTCTTGTCGGTATTGCAGTTATGGAAGACGACAGCAGCAAGTTCGTATGTCGCGTCTGTTCCAAAGCTTTCAGTCTGCAGCGACTTCTTAATCGCCACATGAAGTGCCACTCGGACGTCAAGCGATACCTTTGCACCTTCTGCGGAAAAGGATTTAATGACACCTTTGATCTCAAGCGCCACACTCGTACACATACAGGTAAGGTCCCGGCCTTCACCTCAACGCTAGCCTAAGATTATTTTCGTCTAAATTATGTCTAATGTGTTTAAAGTCATTATAAAACTTACCAGTGTTTGCCCTCGCTTGCGGAGGCACTACACATTAATATAAACAAAAACAATGTTTACAAATAATCAATTAGGTTATATGAAAGTTCTAATGCAAAGTGTTCATTGTTGGCAGGTGTGCGGCCGTACAAATGCAACCTGTGTGAGAAGTCGTTCACCCAACGTTGTTCCCTAGAGTCCCACTGCTTGAAGGTGCACGGCGTTCAGCATAGCTACGCCTACAAGGAGCGCAGGTCCAAGGTGTATGTGTGCGAGGAGTGTGGCCACACCACTGGGGAGCCCGAGTGCCACTATCTTCACCTCAAGGACAACCACCCTTACAGCCCCGCACTACTCAAATTCTACGACAAGAGGCATTTCAAGTTCAACAACTCCAATTTCACGAACGTTCTTCTCATGAGTCAAACGTAGAGATGTGCGCTAATAACGGACGAAGATGTCCTTGCTAGCTGTGCGTTGTAAGACGATGGTGAAGTCCTGCGATTTCTGTTGTTGCGGTGTGGGCTGCCCTGCACGGAGCCGCCTTGGTCACCGGTACCCTGTGCAGTGCGCTTGTCACTGTCACCAGTGCGAGAGATGAACCTGGCACTGCTCATGGCTGCCGTGTGGACCAGTTCCTGGTCCCGGCTCTACACCACGCAAACACAGATCGACCTCGTTAGCTTACGTGTGTTACGTATTTTTATACTTAGCTAAATATAAAAATTAAAGGCATTATATTTTAAGTATATAAAATATATATTTCCATAATAGAAAAAGATTATAGTGTTCTTAAATATGCAATTCGTGTGCATATGATAAGATTTATTGTGAAGTCAAGCATGTGCGCAGGCTGTATGAAGCAGAATATGCTGGCGATAAGGGCAGTTATATGACATAATTACTATATGGCGCTACAAGCGCTCAGAATATATGTGGATTCGTTGCAATATAGATGTTAAGATATTGCTGAACCAATGACTTGTCCTGCACTTACGTGATGCTTCGGTATAAGTGCTGTCCACCTCCTCTCTCCTTCCTTCATACTTTACCACCAAACTTTTGTCTTAATTTTGGACTTGTAAAATTATTTTAAAATTAAAAAAAAAATAAAGCAAGCTGCTGTGTTCAAGTATGTTGTGATGATCTCTAAATGTAACTTGTGGGCATTAGATATGAATGGTGCTCCAAATTGTAAGTGATACATATACATATATATTATATATATTTTATATTTACAATAACCACCAACCAATGATATTTACCTCAGAGCTGAGACCCTCACCACCTACAGCTAAAACCCAGGATCTGGAACCAAGATCTGGAAATCCTCAGCCTGATGTCTGGGGCTCTGGAGTAAGAGACCAAAGAGCTGGTGGTTCCTTGGTTATTTGGCGTCGAAGGACGGCGCAACACACCTGTCAACAGGTAGTGTTGCAGTCTCCTCCCGCAGCGAAGGGTATATTAGAAGCTGTTGATGCGTAACAGCTGGTAGTGGACCAAGACGGCGCTCTGGTGGTATCTTCCGGTGAAGTACAAGATGTCTGATGGGTGTAAATAGGATGTACATTGTTCGTTATCTTAGTTTTTGGTATTTTTGTAAACCCTGCGAGCTTTCTCACCTCTGTGCTAGTGCTTAGGATGGGCCTCGTCCATGGGTGATAAAACAGTTGACGGGCCGCCACCTGTGCCAGTTTAGTCTACGGTGAAAACACTTCCAGTCCTAGATAATACTTGTAATTATCAACTAGATGTCGCTGTATATTTAGCAGTTATGCAGGGAACATTGCAATAATCAAGATAAATTGTTCTGTTAGAAGAACAGATTCTGAAGTCGGGACTGTATCGATGTATAATACAATTTGATGTTATGCAGTGCAGGGATAGAGGCTTCATGAAACCAATGGTGCGAATGAGTGCAATTGTGGTGTTGGACATAACTTAAACTAGCGTTCAACTGTAGCGGCTAGATGGACAACGTTGTTAGGAGAGACTGCAACAACTGTGGCTGGGGGGGGGGAGGGATTACGATACTGTTGCAAATGTTGCATTAGGGTCACTTTCCAATGGCACTTAGGAACTATCAGTCATTTCTCAATTAAGGTGAGCTTTTCATGTCATCTTCGCCTCTTTACGGGTTGCAGTTAATGTTATTAATAGACTTTGATCTTATTTATGACCGGGAACCATGATATGTTGGTGCCTGTCTCTTGTGAATTTTTTCAGTCACATATAATATATTTTTAGAATATTTTGTGTGTTTCCACGTGTATCTTCTCTCTCTCTCTCATATATGTATATATAGTTGAAACTAAGATAATAAAGAATTTTTTGGAACTAACTTGAGTATGTTTACTCAGCCCCTCACTGTATATACAGGTTTGTGTTAGTTTCTCTCACTGGAAGAGTATGTTTACCTCCACAATACACTGCCTTGGCTCCCCCTCACCCCGTCTGCACTATGGCAGCTGGCTCCCCCTCACCCCGTCTGCACTATGGCAGCTGGCTCCCCCTCACCCCGTCTGCACTATGGCAGCTGGCTCCCCTCACCCCGTCTGCACTATGGCAGCTGGCTCCCCCTCACCCCGTCTGCACTATGGCAGCTGGCTCCCCCTCACCCCGTCTGCACTATGGCAGCTGGCTCCCCCTCACCCCGTCTGCACTATGGCAGCTGGCTCCCCCTCACCCCGTCTGCACTATGGCAGCTGGCTCCCCTCACCCCGTCTGCACTATGGCAGCTGGCTCCCCCTCACCCCGTCTGCACTATGGCAGCTGGCTCCCCCTCACCCCGTCTGCACTATGGCAGCTGGCTCCCCCTCACCCCGTCTGCACTATGGCAGCTGGCTCCCCCTCACCCCGTCTGCACTATGGCAGCTGGCTCCCCTCACCCCGTCTGCACTATGGCAGCTGGCTCCCCCTCACCCCGTCTGCACTATGGCAGCTGGCTCCCCCTCACCCCGTCTGCACTATGGCAGCTGGCTCCCCCTCACCCCGTCTGCACTATGGCAGCTGGCTCCCCCTCACCCCGTCCACACTGTGGCAGCTGGCTCCTCCTCACCCCGTCCACACTGTGGCAGCTGGCTCCCCCTCACCCCGTCTGCACTATGGCAGCTGGCTCCCCCTCACCCCGTCTGCACTATGGCAGCTGGCTCCCCCTCACCCCGTCTGCACTATGGCAGCTGGCTCCCCCTCACCCCGTCTGCACTATGGCAGCTGGCTCCCCTCACCCCGTCAGCACTATGGCAGCTGGCTCCCCCTCACCCCGTCTGCACTATGGCAGCTGGCTCCCCCTCACCCCGTCTGCACTATGGCAGCTGGCTCCCCCTCACCCCGTCTGCACTATGGCAGCTGGCTCCCCCTCACCCCGTCCACACTGTGGCAGCTGGCTCCTCCTCACCCCGTCCACACTGTGGCAGCTGGCTCCCCCTCACCCCGCCCACACTGTGGCAGCTGGCTCGCCCTCACCCCGCCCACACTGTGGCAACTGGCTCGCCCTCACCCCGCCCACACTGTGGCAGCTGGCTCGCCCTCACCCCGCCCACACTGTGGCAACTGGCTCGCCCTCACCCCGCCCACACTGTGGCAACTGGCTCCCCCTCACCCCGCCCACACTGTGGCATCAGACCATCCTGGCTCTAACTAACAACATACCACACAATTGAAACACCACAAACGGATACTATATCAAAAGAAACTCCAGAACGTTGATGTACGAGAACAATGGCTGGTCTTCCTCTGGTGTGACACCACAGGAGCGGCCCGCGCTGACACCACAGGAGCACCACGCTGACACCACAGGAGCGCCACGCTGACACCACAGGAGCACCACGCTGACACCACAGGAGCGCCACGCTGACACCACAGGAGCACCACGCTGACACCACAGGAGCGCCACGCTGACACCACAGGAGCGCCACGCTGACACCACAGGAGCACCACGCTGACACCACAGGAGCACCACGCTGACACCACAGGAGCACCACGCTGACACCACAGGAGCACCACGCTGACACCACAGGAGCGCCACGCTGACACCACAGGAGCACCACGCTGACACCACAGGAGCACCACTGTGATATTAACATTTGTTGCAAAGCTAGACAAATACAGAATGCCCAATACACACGGGGGGGGGGAAGTGGAGGAGCCCTGATCTCTCTAACAAGAGGTGAGGAGAGAGGGGAGACATCCCTGCTCCTGTGCCAGGTAAGCCCGCTACGGGCTCACCATAGCCCGTGCTACTTGGAACTTTTTGTTCCTAATAGCTGAATCTTAAACAACAAAAGAGGAGAGAAACACCTCCGTCCAGAGGGAAGGGACGAAATAGGTACAACACCCACCTATCCAAGGAGGGAGGGGGGGGGGGGGGGGTGACTGTCCACCTACACACCCTCTCAAGAATATCTGAACACTTCCTTCAAGTGTCAACAATGACGAGAGACAACACATTCTGCTCTCAGTCTCGAAGCCTGACACCAGCTCAGTACAGTTATGTCGTTTTCCCTGAATGACCTTGGGACTGTGCAGGAGCAACTGTGACTACTGTGAACCCTTCCCCCCCCCACGAGGGTGACGACTGTGACCTCGATAATGACACCGCTGTACTCATATGGTGATGAGTGTTGAGACTCCAGCTGTTGATGACAAGAGACCACAGCCAAACAACCGGCCTTAACCGCGGCTGTAAAATAATCAAGGAAAAGAACACTTGCCATAACAAGCGAGGAAGCTGCTTGTTGTAACTTGTAGTGCTGGGAAGTGTTGCGCTGCACATCATCTTATCCACAGTAATAATACCACAACTTTCCGCAGTAATAGTACCACAACTTTCCACAGTAATAGTACCACAACTTTCCACAGTAATAGTACCACAACTTTCCACAGTAATAGTACCACAACTTTCCACAGTAATAGCACCACAACCGAGCCTTATACAACACACATTTAGCATGATAATCTCTCAGCAGTAACCTGGGGATTAATTAGGCGTCCCACACCGGGTCTCCTCACCCCTGAAGCTCCCCAGGAAGATATCTACGGGTACACACATGACCCCTTAACGCCTCCCTCACCATCCCCTGACAGTGTTCACCATCCCCTGACAGTGTTCACCATCCCCTGACGGTGTTCATCATCCCCTGACGGTGTTCACCACCCTCTGACGGTGTTCACCATCCCCTGACGGTGTTCACCATCCCCTGACGGTGTTCACCATCCCCTGACGGTGTTCACCATCCCCTGACAGTGTTCACCATCCTCTGACGGTGTTCACCATCCCCTGACGGTGTTCACCATCCTCTGACGGTGTTCACCATCCCCTGACGGTGTTCACCATCCCCTGACGGTGTTCACCATCCCCTGACAGTGTTCACCATCCCCTGACGGTACAAGAGACATAAAAAAAACAGTTTATATACGCGATATTTACATATTCATAACAACTGCTCTGAGTAATGGAAACAGAGTTATGACGTACAGTAACCTCTGTCAATTAGTTGTTATTGATGAAAGTTATATATAGTTCTCCTTAGCGCGTGATTTATACAGGAATACATGTGAATTATACAGCATTGGTGTATTGTACGTATTTGCAATGTGTTGTGTATTGCCTGTATTGTATTACTTTTTGAATTCCATGACGATTGTATAGGAAGTGATGAAAAGAGGTATATATAAGATTGTCGCTATTCATATGTATAAACTCTCCAGATTACTAGTGCATATATATATATATGTAGAAGAGTCAAGGTCATGGTGGGTGATGTGATGCTGGCTCCGATCTTCCTCGCAACTACACGCCCTTGATCTCCTCTACCTCCACGCCACCACACGCCCTTGATCTCCTCTACCTCCACGCCACCACACGCCCTTGATCTCCTCTACCTCCACGCCACCACACGCCCTTGATCTCCTCTACCTCCAAGCCACCACACGCCCTTGATCTCCTCTACCTCCACGCCACCACACGCCCTTGATCTCCTCTACCTCCACGCCACCACACGCCCTTGATCTCCTCTACCTCCACGCCACCACACGCCCTTGATCTCCTCTACCTCCACGCCACCACACGCCCTTGATCTCCTCTACCTCCACGCCACCACACGCCCTTGATCTCCTCTACCTCCACGCCACCACACGCCCTTGATCTCCTCTACCTCCACGCCACCACACGCCCTTGATCTCCTCTACCTCCACGCCACCACACGCCCTTGATCTCCTCTACCTCCACGCCACCACACGCCCTTGATCTCCTCTACCTCCAAGCCACCACACGCCCTTGATCTCTTCTACCTCCACGCCACCACACGCCCTTGATCTCCTCTACCTCCACGCCACCACACGCCCTTGATCTCTTCTACCTCCACGCCACCACACGCCCTTGATCTCCTCTACCTCCAAGCCACCACACGCCCTTGATCTCCTCTACCTCCACGCCACCACACGCCCTTGATCTCCTCTACCTCCACGCCACCACACGCCCTTGATCTCCTCTACCTCCACGCCACCACACGCCCTTGATCTCCTCTACCTCCACGCCACCACACGCCCTTGATCTCTTCTACCTCCACGCCACCACACGCCCTTGATCTCCTCTACCTCCAAGCCACCACACGCCCTTGATCTCCTCTACCTCCACGCCACCACACGCCCTTGATCTCCTCTACCTCCACGCCACCACACGCCCTTGATCTCCTCTACCTCCACGCCACAACACGCCCTTGATCTCCTCTACCTCCACGCCACCACACGCCCTTGATCTCCTCTACCTCCACGCCACCACACGCCCTTGATCTCCTCTACCTCCACGCCACCACACGCCCTTGATCTCCTCTACCTCTACGCCACCACACGCCCTTGATCTCCTCTACCTCCACGCCACCACACGCCCTTGATCTCCTCTACCTCCACGCCACCACACGCCCTTGATCTCCTCTACCTCCACGCCACCACACGCCCTTGATCTCCTCTACCTCCACGCCACCACACGCCCTTGATCTCCTCTACCTCTACGCCACTACACCACAGTTACACTATACTATTTGCAATACTTCAGGATGCGCCTTGAGAAATGCTAAAATCTTACACGATCAACTAAGCCTACTACTTCTGTTGGAAATCCCATGTTCCAATAACTTCCCCCAATTCAAATATTGATGCATAAACCAACGACAATTAGAAGTATGTAAACAATGGTGCTGGAGGGCGAGACGAGACCTCCGCCGGGGACCATTAAACCATTAAACTGTTCCCTAAACTTTGTTCTTCTTAAAAGTACAAAATATATACTAAAAGTAACAAATATATTACGACTGGAAAGAGTGGACAGGTCGCGCCTCTATG